AGATTTGATATTTACTCAAGACCAATCCCTGTTCTGAGGCAGGCAAGGAAATCCACTTAATCCCTTGCATAGCACCAACCGCACAGCCTAACCTTTCAGATGAATAAATACATAGGGCTTGCAAATCAGTGCCAGCATTACCAACATGGGCAGTGGAATTTAAAATGAATAATAATAAGACCAACATTTTCACATGTTCCTGGCACTATCACAAGAAACTAGCGGAAAGCAACCTTAACTTATCTAAAGTGAGTAGTAAATATTAGCAGAAATAATCCTTGGAAAGGAAACCGTGTATAGAAGAATCAAACCATTATCTCAAGAAATGTGAAATCTACTGTACATATCAGACATTGTCTGCAGGTACGCTAATCTCTTGCATGTTTCTAATTTATATTTATTTTGGTACACTTGCTACAACACTATATACAGTATTTACCTTCTCAGGAATTGCCCTTTAAAGAAAGATTGTTAAGCTCTAGTTGGCCATATCTGACATGACAACATGACAATAGTTAGGGACATCTGATCTACTTATTATGTGCCTAGCATTGAGATAATTGAACATATAAACAAATGTGCATAAAGTACCTACATTAGCTTGACAAGCCATCTTCTATAATGATTATTAATTAAATACAGTTTAAACAGAGTTAAATACATGAACACAGCCAAATATCTGAGTTACTTTGAAAGTTTGCCAGTCATTCCTTTATTGTGTCAAAAATACTATAGTTAAAATTGTCCATGTATGTGTTTCAGATGGTTCAATGCACTGTTTAACAGAGCAAAAATACAAAATAGAGTTTCATTCCAATGTTGGAAAACTGATTTGAAAAGAAAATAACGTTATCTACTAAACCTTTTATCCATTCTAAAAATAGGCAGAAGTGCATTCAATAAAACAAGTAAGCTTATAAAGGGAGAGGAAAGATTGGCATGATGAAGCTGTCTTCCCAAATGTTTAAACTATAAAAGTAATCCACTCACAATTAAAATCTTTGCACAGAAAGCATCTAGGCAGAATGTCACTGATGATGGTCATTGGCTTCCATAAACAGCAGAGACGGAATCTTGGACCCAGCAATGGAGCACACTGATGTTTATGGAAGCCAGTGAACACCAACAATAACATTCTGCCTAGATGCTACTTTCAAAAGGATTTTAAAACAATTATTAAAGACATTGTGCAACATATAATAGGACAACATATCCTGTATTTCAGGTCATATGTCAGAGGAATTTGTCAGGGCAAAAACTGGGAGACAGGGGTTTTAAGGGGCATTTATTAACAAGAGTTAGAGAACATTCTGTAAGCAGGGGGCATTATCATGACAGAAAATATGATGCACAGTTCCTCATGCAGTCTAACAAGTATGGGAACCCCCTTAATAGAACTCTCTGTGCATGGCTGAAGTTAGTGGTAATCAACAATTTCTTAACTTAGCAGGACCAAGGCAGAGGGATCTTAACTGTGAATGGATTACCATGCCAAAGAACTCTTTTTGTCCCCTTATCTCTATAGTTTAAAAGTGTTCCTCTCCATATTACTAAGTGCTGCAAGCCATGACTGGTTGGCTCATGCTTTCCTTTTTGGACTTGGGATACTTTTGCATGCAGCTGATTTCCAAGTGTGGTTTCCCAGGCACACAAGAAAGATTCTATCAACTTTACTTGAATGAAGAAGCATTGTATATGTTGTGGTATCATTCTCAGCTCAATGCGCACAACAGTGGCATCTGAATATTTTTTTTTTAACAGATAAGCATTCTGTGGTGCTTTCCAAAGTTTACAAGAGTAAGCCTGTAGGGTCTGGACTTCAAAAGAACCTTGATTTTTGTTACTAGGTATTGATGAAAGAAGGCTATATACTGGATGAGCAGTGTTCATTCTTTTGTCCCCACTACTGGTCTGACATATCAATGAAATACTCATACAAGTCTGTCAAGAAAGACATTAGGTAAGGAATGGTGTCTAAAGAAAGCTAACAATATTTCATGCCATTATCTGTGACACATATCAGCTTCAAAGTCAAAGTGGTTGTAAAGCCAGGTGTTTTACCTTCATGCATCCAATGCATGAAGGTAAAAACCTTCTCAATCCAACTCCCCCTCCCATATTCTTATCTGAGCCCAATCTCAATCTAGCGACGTGCACAAGAGCCAAGGCTTTCTCTTCTCTCTCACTCCTCATTGGCTTAGATACAGCAGCGGGAGCCATTTGCTCCTGCTGCTGTCAATCATAGCCAGTGAGGAGGGAGTGGGGGGGTGGGGCCAAGCCGCGCTTTGTGTGTCTTCTGGACGCACAGGTCCACCCGGGGAGTAAGTACACATGGGTGTCCCCCATAGCAAGCGCCTTGCTGTGGGGGCACTCAGTTGGGAGGGCAGTAGCACCAATGGGGGACCCAAGAAGAGGACGATCAGGGCTGCTCTGTGCAAAACCGTTACGCAGAGCAGGTAAGTATAACATGTTTGTTATTTTAAAGAGAAAAAAAACATTTAGTATCACTTTAATTTTAAGTAAACCAATTTTACTGACTATAGGCAGAGGTTATTCACATGTATTATGTATAATTGTTTTTTAAACACAAAAAATAGTGTATTATCTTTATTGATATTATTTATTTATAGATTTCTGCGGCTAAACCCTTGTCATTTTAATTTATTCAGTAGATTATTACTCAAATTTTTCCCTGCTGTGACTGTTAGCTGTTTACTGAGTTTTTAGCTGAGCATAGACATTAATGTTTGTCATACTTGCAAACATGATTACCCTACTTAAGATGTTTATTTTATTACAGATGTCAAATAAACATGCTCATTCAGATTGGCCTTAGATGTGTGTTTATTTCTGAGGAAGTGGGAGGGAGTAAACAATGTAGCAACCTCTGATTCAAGAACCTTGCAACACCATAAAAATCTGGAAAATGCAGGGGGACAAATCAATGGAGATTTCTCTAGCCAATACAAAATATACACAATGGGATTGATTTACTACAACTGTGCAAAATATGGCGCAGCTGTGCATGGAAGCCAATCAGCTTCTAACTTCGGTGTGTTCATCTAAGCATTGAAAAAAAAAACCCTTCAGGTTGATTGGATTCTATGACGAACTGCACCAAATTTTGCACTCTCCAGTTTTAGTAAATCAACCCCTATATGTCCCACAAAAGCAATGGGACAAAATAACACATCTCAATCTGTTTTCTTCGCTGCTTGCCACACAAAGTATTCAACTTAGATGCATAAAGTACATTAAGGTAAACTGATAATTGGTAGTACTAGTTAAAAGTTTTCTACTAACAGCTATACACAAATAAAAGGTTTAAATAGGGGAACAAATATAGGAAATGTTAAAAATACCAACGAACACAGGGTTACCAAAGCTCTTTAAAGACATTTTATTTTATAGTTATGACAGAATATGTGTTGCCACTTTCACCCCCTGGTCCTAAGCTAAATCCCTACTACACTATATTGCCGAAAGTATTAGGACACCTGCCTTAGCATAAACTTTAATGGCATCCCAGTCTTAATCCATAGGGTTCAATATTGAATTGGACCACCCTTTGCAGCTTTAACAGCTTCAACTCTTCTGAGAAGGCTGTCCACATGGTTTAGGAGTGTGCTATAGGAATGTTTGATCATTCTTCCAGAAGCGCATTTGTGAGGTCAAGCACTGATGCCAAATGAGAAGGCCTGGCTTGCAGTCTCTGCTCTAATTCAACCAAAAGTGTTCTATCGGGTTGAGATCAGGACTCTGCGCAGGCCAGTCAAGTTCCTCCACCACAAACTTGCTCATCCATGTCTTTATGGACCTTGCTTTGTGCACTGGTGCGCAGTCATGTTGGAACAGGAAGGGGCTATCCCCAAATTGTTCCCACAAAGTTGGGAGCATGAAATTGTTCAAAATGTCTTGACATGCTGACGCCTTAAGAGTTCCCTTCACTGGAACTAAGGAGCCAAGCCAAACCCCTGAAAAACAACCCCACAAAATAATCCCCCCTCCACCAAAGTTTACACTTGGAACAAAGTGAGGCAAGTACTCTCCTGACCACGTCCATTGGATTGCCAGAGAGAGAAGCGTGAGTCGTCACTGCAGAGAACAAGTCTCCATTGCTCTGTTGTTCCCAGTTCCTTTTACTTTATTATAATACCACTAACAGTTGATCGTGGAATATTCAGGAGCAAGGAAATTTTACGGCTGGACTTATTGCACAGGTGGCAACCTATCACGATGCCACACTTGAATTCACTGAGCTCCTGAGAGTGACCCATTCTTTCACAAATGTTTGTAGAAGCAGTCTGCATGCCTAGGTGCTTGATTTTATACACCTGTGGCCATGGAGGTGACTGGAACACCTGAACCCAATGATTTGGAGGGGCATCCCAATACTTTTGGAAATATAGTGTATATAATGCAAAGTATTTTAGAATTGAAAATTAGACGTCAAGCCTTGCCTCTGATCCATCCAAATCCCACATTATTTTACATTATGTAAACAGTCCCCTGCCTCACGAAGGTATCCTGTTGTGACTTAGCTTGAAGATCTGTGGTGTGCTGGCAAATATCTACACTGTGTCATGCTTGATCCAGTCTTGCTGTAGCACCCAGTACCCTAGAGTCTTTCCCAAGAACGAGTTTGATGGGAATATGGATTGTTCCCTGCATACAGAAGACAAATGCCTTTCATAGCCCCAAAAGTGGGGAAATTTCACAAATATCTGCACTGTTAGCAGATATGTGGTTCATAAACTACCCCATTCCAACACGTCTATGTTCTTTCCTGAAAAAATCTATAGGACTCAAGTTTCAAGCTTGGTTTTACAAAGCAGATTAAGACTCTGACCCACTCACTTTCCAATACAATCTTCTAATTAAATCGAATCTTGCTCAAGCATGACACCATTTTAATGAAACAGTGCAACTGAGAAGCTTTGCAATTTTGTAAAAACAAAACCTCAACATAATACCTGGAAAAAGAGTAAAATAGTACGTATTAGTAGCACTTACAACTGCTGAGTGGAAATGTGCTGTTTATTTGTTCCATAACATCCATCAGGTCTGTCTGTGCTGGTGTTATGAGGGGAGGATAGTATGTCATCTGTAAATACATTAATCAAAGCAGGAAAGTTTCAAATGAAATGTAACAATTCCTCAAAGCAGAAGTCTATTAAAGTTCCACGGGTATGCAATGTTAATACTGTAACATTTGCTATGCATGAGTAATAACCAAGATGAGATTGTCTCTAGCAGAGGCTTCATAATTACTGCTTGGAGGAGAATTAAACTGATTCTATTGGGATCACTTACAATATGTAGGTCTCTGCTGGGTAAGACGAGCCTATGTAATAAAAGCAACAGCTCCATTTCACAGATGAATGATCAGCCTCTTGACGCTGCAGCCTATATGATGCAACTGGTAGATATTTTTTTTACCCTTTACAGTTGATATCCATAAAATCATTTTTACTCAAATTTGTTTCTAAATTGTTAATTCTTAGTGCTCATTAGTTTAAGGGCTCATGCACACAGGTTTACTAGAGCATATAACATTAAATATGTCCGTATTTCAGCATTTCAGCTGCCTGGAAAAATGAATTACAAGACACATCTGTACACAGCTCTGAGCACACACACATAGACGTATGGATGGGACACAGGCAATCTATGTCCAGATGCATATGTCTGTATGCATGTTTACACTCTGAGCTGTGTATACACGTGTACAGCTGTATCTTGTAATTCATTTGGACAGGCAACTTTACACAACACCCATGGCTTAAATATGGCCATGCTTCACATTATTTGCCCCTATACATCCATGTGCATGTGCCGTAAGATAGAATCAAACCTTCATTAACTAATTTTTTGTCTTACCGACTGATAATTACAGCACCCTTTTTGCCTCTTTAAACAGTGAAATCAACGATGTTGCAGAATAAAGTTACAATAACAAAGAGAAACATGGCACATAGATCAAAAGACCAACCTAATGCAAAATGAGCAACTTTTTATCCCTATATTTTCTGACCTTGGTGATGTGGGATTTTCTGCATCTAAATGTATTAAACAATGGATTATGTAATGCTATAAGTGTCACTACAATTAGTGATCAAGGCCACCCAGTAAGTGAGTAGTGGTGTTGGGCAGTCACACACCCTACAGGAGGAAGGAGAGAGCCCACGAGCAGCTCTGTGAAAAGGCTGCAAGACCCTGCGACAATCTATTTGACAACTATCACAAGTGCCTGTGATCAATGATACAATCTGTGTTAGATATCATTTTCTACAGAAACTCAAAATTTGTTGTCTGCTAGACACTGCACTTTTAACTGTACACTGTGCTTACAAGTCATGTTACAAGTCATGTAGCCGGCAGCCATCAGAGTGGCCTCTGCATAATGCAAAAATAATACTACATGATAGGAGAAGAACTTAGCTCTCATTCACACTTGACTTTATTTCTAACTCTTGCCGAACGCCCCTATAACGTTTGTCAGGCGTTAGACAGGCGCTTGGGAAGCATTTTTAACGCTCCTCAATTGCTCCCCAAACGCCCAATGCGCAGTTTTAAGGTGTTTGATAGGCGTTTGCCAAGCGTTAAAACCGCACCACAAATGCCTATAATGAAGTTAAATGGTATTAACGTTCCGCAGAGGACTCGCAAACTCCTCGCAAATGCCTGCCAGGCGTTTGAGGAGCAGCACCATAGACTTAAATGGGAGGCTTCAACTCCTCTTGACCTGACAGTTTTGCCACGACGCAACGCGACGCTAACGCTTCAGTGTGAACAGCATTGTGTGCTGCCATGTGCAGAATTTTCATAGACTACCTGACGCCTGCTGACAAAGCTAGTGTGAAGGTAGCCTTAGTTACAAGATTTTGACAGGTCATATGACCTTTCCCCCAGCCCTTTTTTCCCGTTCATTAAAATTAATGAGGCTTCACATGCTTTGTCATTCCCAGGCATGCAAAAGTGAAGGGCACATTTGTAAAACACACCACTACAAGTATGCCTGTGTATTTTTAAAAAAAAACATTTAGTGCGGGGTGCAGGAAGGCGTTTGATTGCATGCCTTCTTGCACCGCAGAAAAAACATGATGCAGTTTAGGAGATGCGTAGGGGTAACATTAATCCTAATGACACCCCCATGCACTGGAAGCCACAGCACGATTTTCCACACTGGGAACTGCACTCTGTGGATTCCCTGTGGTCGCATTTTCTGAAAATATGGAGGGACCTTTTCCCTGCACTTTCAGTGGGTACAGCAGCCCTTCAGGTCTCAAAAGTTTGCATTCAGGATTGACTGTGAGACTATCACAGAAACCTGTGTCAGTCAATACCCTACTTTCTTTGTGCATTACACAAACTAGCCATGATACAGAATGAAGTCTCATCAATGCGGATCCCACTATTCTCTCATCAATACTGCACGCTTGTTGGAAACTGGGATTTTTACAGCTGATGCATTCTGCAGCTAGTAATCAAAGAAAATTCAAATTTCAAATGCACATAACCTGCCTTTATTTAAGAATTTCAGCAATATTTATCAGAAATAAAGTTTTACTTAAAAGCATACCGTATGTGCTCATTATGAAACTTGAAGTGCATAGGTGGTTTTTGTAACCGGACATACAGTGTATAGATAGATATAGATACCATTTAGATCAGGCTCTTACCTGTGTGTTGAAACTGTGAACTGTAGTGGTCAGCTGTATATTGTGGGGCCGGCGGCTGCATTAATGTAGACACAGAGACTCCATTCACCCTGGATTCTGAGTCAGGCTATGAACAAGGTAAATAAAAGCCATGTCAAATGATAATGTAAGTTAGAGAAAATAAATAAAATCACCCATTTCTGTAGAGACTCCTTCCTGCACTACTATGTTCATTAACTACTTCAAGTCTTTAAATGACAATTGCGCGGTCATGCAACACTGTACCCATATTAATTTTTTAGCATTTTTTGAGACAGATAAAGCTTTATTTTGGTGGTACTTTTTCACCACTGGAATTTTTATTTTTTTTGCTATGTAAATGAAAAAGTCCAAAAATTTTGAAAAAAAAAAAGTGTTTTTTTCTTATAAAATTTATAAAATAATATTTCATCATAAATCTTGGCCAAAATTTATTCCGTTATCTTTTTAGTAAAAACTCAAATTAGTTTATAACCAAAAATTATATTTTTAAAACCTTTTTTTTACATTTTTATTTTTTTTTTTATAATATTATGTTTTTTTTTTTACATACTGTCACCCTAGCGGTACAGTGTCACAGAGGTCTCATAAGACGATCGGTGTTCAACTGTGTCTGGAGGACACATGTCAGGGCATGCTCCTAATCAGACGACGGATGGTGCCCTGGGGGCATCACTGAGCTCCTGGACAGTCTGAGGTGTAACCTGGCTGCATTGAATGGACCGAAACATGATATCCCAGAGGTGTTCTATTGTATTTAGGTCAGGTGAGTGTGGGGTCATTCAATGGTATTTCATCCCGATACCTAATGGCAATCAGGGTGCCATTGTCTAGCCTGTAGAGGACTGTGTCCCTTCATGGATATGCCTCCCCAGACCATCACTGACCCACCACCAAAATGGTCATGCTGAACGATGTTACAGGCAGCATAACGTTCTCCACGGCTTCTCCAGACCCTTTCACATCTGTCACATGTGCTCAGGGTAAACCTGCTCTCATCTGTGAAAAGCACAGGGCACCAATGGTGGACCTGCCAATTCTGGTGTTCAATGGAAAATGCCAATCGAGCTCTATGGTGCCGGGGAGTGATCACAGGGCCCACTAGAGGACATCGGGCCCTCAGGCCACCCTCATGAAGTTTGTTTCTGATTGGTCAGAGACATTCACATCAGTGGCCTGCTGGAGGTCATTTTGTAGGGCTCTGGCAGCGCTCATCTTGTCCCTCCTTGCACAAATGAGCAGATATCGGTCCTGCTGATAGGTTAAGGACCTTCTACGGTCCTTAGTAGTTACAGCTCTACCAGCTCTCCTAGAGTTACTGCCTGTCTCCTGGAATTTCCTCCATGCTCTTGAGACTGCGCTGGGAGACACAGCAAACGTTCTGGCAATGGCACGTATTGATGTGTCATCCTGGAGGAGTTGGACTGCCTGTGCAATCTCTGTAGGATCCAGGTATTGCCTCATGCTACCAGTAGTGACACTGACCCTAGCCAAAACAGACAGAAAAGATGAGTAGGGAAAAAAATGTCAGTGGCCTCCACCTGTAAAACCATTCCTGTTTTGGGGGTCATCTCATTGTTGCCCATCTAGTTACCTGTTGTTAATTTCATTAACACCAAAGCAGCTGAAACTGATTACCAACCTCCTCTGCTACTTAACTGACCAGATCAATATCCCAGGAGTTTAAATGACTTGATGCTATACTCTGATTAAAAAGTGTTCCTTTAATTTTTTTGAGCAATGTATTTATGGATGTTAACAAGAGTGGGTACTGGTGACATTCCATGTTTATATGTTCCTGAGAAATTTAATTCATGACCTGCCAGTTTTTCATTTCTGATTCTAAATGATCACAAGCCATAAAGTATCAAGGGAATGTCTAAAAAAAGAAAGTCTAAAAAAAGAACAACTTTACTGAAGGCTTGTTACACTGCAAATGAAAGTTACTAGATGCAGATTACTTCAATGAATAGAGATCAAATGGTGAAGCAGTTTGTTCTTAACGGGGCCATAGACTTAGGGATTCTTATATACCAAACACCCTTCAGCTCCTGTTTTGGAAGATTAAATACACTTTAATTAAGTCATTAAAAAGCTGTTAGTAAATTCAGCAACCAATGCTGCATGAAACTTGTCGAACACCTGCTGGAGCTTGCTAACATTTGGTCTAAAGTAATAGCCAGAATTTCAGTTATCAATTACAAGTAAGATACTGTCTGTCAAACCAACAGTTTTCATTTTTCTGACTCCCCCTAGACCATAATTTTTGCCCTATGGGTCCTGCCAGTAGATCTGTTGTTATTACACTTCCTGTAATAGGCCAAGCTGTCAACCACTGGCAGTTGCAGTGTTAGGGCAACCAAAAAACATTGACAGGGGTATTTACAATTGTCAGCTTTCATTTATATTGCTTAAATCTTTTTTCCCAAAAAGAAAAAAAAAGTTGTTGTAACGGCTTAGCAGCAGTTAGACATTATATTATTTGTCTCTTACTTCAAATTATTTTAAAACTATAGGTCGGTTTAAAACTACCCTGTCACAGTGTGGCAATACTGATTTTACTGCAGAATGAACAGCGTTGTCACAATAATACAGGAAGTAGAAGAATAATGGATTTACTGGCAGGATCCACAGGTAATAAAACTACATTACGGGAGGGACATGGGAAAATAAAAAAAATGCTGCTATTAACACACTACATAATTTATGTTATTTTTTAATAGGTCCATAGTTTCAACCTACCGTATTTTCCAGCGTATAAGACGACTTTTCAACCCCTGAAAATCTTCTGAAAAGTCGGGGGTCGTCTTATACGCCGGTGCGAGCCGGTGTCAGGGCGGCACTTTTTCGAGGGGAGGCGCGGCGCCGCCCCCCCTCCTCCTCCAACGGACACTAAGTACAGGGGTGGACAGAGGGGCTGCTGTACCTTACCTGGCTCCGGTCCCACGACGATCCGGTCCAGGAAGCGCGGCTGCTCCTTCTTTCAGTTCGGCCGCTCGATGGTCATGCGGCCGCTCGGTTCCGCCTCCTCACAGGCGACCAATCACCGGCGAGGAGGCGGAGCCGAGCGGCCCCGCGAAAATCGAGCGGTCGCACTGGAAGAAAGAGCAGCCGCTCCTCCCCCACTGACACCAACGATGAGGCACTGTTCCTCTCCCACTGACACCAACGATGAGGCACTGTTCCTCTCCCACTGACACCAACGATGAGGCACTGTTCCTCTCCCACTGACACCAACGATGAGGCGCTGTTCCTCTCCCACTGACACCAACGATGAGGCACTGTTCCTCCGCCACTGACACCAACGATGAGGCACTGTTCCACCCCCACTGACACCAACGATGCGGCACTGTTCCTCCCCCCACTGACACCAACGATGAGGCACTGTTCCACCCCCACTGACACCAACGATGGGGCACTGTTCCTCCCCCCACTGACACCAACGATGAGGCACTGTTCCTCCCCCACTGACACCAACGATGAGGCACTGTTCCACCCCCACTGACACCAATGATGAGGAACTGTTCCTCCCCCACTGACACCAACGATGAGGCACTGTTCCTCCCCCACTGACACCAACGATGAGGCACTGTTCCTCTCCCACTGACACCAACGATGAGGCGCTGTTCCTCTCCCACTGACACCAACGATGAGGCACTGTTCCTCCGCCACTGACACCAACGATGAGGCACTGTTCCACCCCCACTGACACCAACGATGCGGCACTGTTCCTCCCCCACTGACACCAACGATGAGGCACTGTTCCACCCCCACTGACACCAACGATGGGGCACTGTTCCTCCCCCACTGACACCAACGATGAGGCACTGTTCCTCCCCCACTGACACCAACGATGAGGCACTGTTCCACCCCCACTGACACCAATGATGAGGAACTGTTCCTCCCCCACTGACACCAACGATGAGGCACTGTTCCTCCCCCACTGACACCAACGATGAGGCACTGTTCCTCCCCCACTGACACCAACGATGAGGCACTGTTCTCCCCACTGACACCAATGATGGGGCACTATTCCTCCCACTGATACCAATGATGGGGCACTATTCCTCCTCCCCCACTGACACCAATGATGGGGCACTATTCCTCCTCCCCACTGACACCAACAATGGGGCACTATTCTCCCCACTGATACCAATGATGGGGCACTATTCCTCCTCCCCCACTGACACCAATGATGGGGCACTATTCCTCCCACTGACACCAATGATGGGGCACTATTCCTCCCACTGACACCAATGATGGGGCACTATTCTCCCCACTGATACCAATGATGGGGCGCTATTCCTCCCACTGACACCAATGATGGGGCGCAATTCCTGCCACTGATACCAATGATGGAGCGCTATTCCTCTCACTGACACCAATGATTGGCACTATTCCTCCCACTGACACCAATGATGGGGTGCTATTCCTCCCACTGACACCAATGATGGGGCACTATTCCTCCCAGTGACACCAATGATGGGGCACGATTCTTCCCACTGACACCAATGATGGGACACTATTCCTCCCACTGACTAATGATGGGGCACTATTCCTCACACACTGACACCAATGATGGGGCACCATCATTGGTGTCAGTGGGAGGAATAGTGTCCCATCATTGGTATCAGTGGGAGGAATAGTGCCCCATCATTGGTGTCAGTGGATGAAATAGTGCCCCATCATTGGTGTCAGTGGGAGGAGTAGTGCCTCATCATTGGTGTCAGTGGGAGGAATAGCACCCCATCATTGGAATACCATACTGAAATACCATACCATATTGAAATCAAATCTGATGTTTTTTCATTTTTATTTGGTGTGCGTTGGAAGAGGGGTAGTCTTATACGGCGAGTATAGCTCAAACCCTATATTTTAACAGGAAAAGTAGGGGGTCGTCTTATACGCCCAGTCGTCTTATACGCCGGAAAATACGGTAATATCCCCAAAACTGGAGCTGAAAGTTGCCTTAAAAGCTTCAAAAAAGCTACTTTAAAAGGCCTGTATTCTTTCTTAGATACACATAATATAACTGGATACTAACATTTATAGGTAAAGTTGATCCAGGGAATATCTGATTGCCTCTCGGGGGATCAGAAAGGAAATTTTTTCCCAGCAGGAGAAAATTGGATCATGCTTTGCTGGTTTTTTTTTGCCTTCCTCTGGATCAACTGTGGGTATAGGATTATAACTTTTTTTTTTATGGTCGAACTGGATGGACTTTTGTCTTTTTTCAGCCAGACTAACTATGTAACTACTTAAATTCTGCTGAAAACTTTAACTATGCTTAGTAAAAGCTTGCTGTACATAGTGTTCTTAAACATGCTAAAAGTTGTGTGTACAAGGTCTTGATTTTAATTTATGAGCAACACTAGTAGCATAGTTACATAGTTAGTCTGGCTGAAAAAAGTCCATCCAGTTAACCCATTAAAAAAAGTTATAATCCTATACCCACAGTTGATCCAGAGGAAGGCAAAAAAACCCAGCAAAGCATTATCTAATTTGCTCCATATCTATTAATGTTAGTATCCAGTTATATTGTGTGTATCTAGGAAAGAATCCATGCCTTTTTTAAAGTAATCCACTGAGCTGGCCAGAACTCTTGAGTGAGTCTATTACACATTTTCACAGCTCTTACTGTGAAGAAACCTTTCCGTGTTTGAAGATGAAATGTCTTTTCCTCCAGACGTAAAGAGTTCCCCCTTGTCCTCTGTGATGACCTCAGGGTGAATAACTCTACATCGAGTTCACTATATGAACTACTGATGTATTTATACATGTTGATCATATTCCCCCTTAATCTCTTCTCAAGAGAGAATAAATTCAGTTCCTGTAATCTTTCCTCATAGCTGAGCTCCTCCATGCCTCTTATCAGTTTGGTTGCCCTTCTCTGTACTTTCTCCAGTTCCCCAATGTTCTTTTTGTGAATTGGTGCCCAAAACCAAACTGCATATTCCATATGAGGTCTTATTAATGATTTGTACAGCGGTAAAATGATATCTCTCTCTGGAGTCTATAGCTCTTTTAATACAAAAGAGGATTTTGCTTGCTTTAGAAACCAAAACTTGGCATTGCATGCCATTATTAAGCTTGTGATCTACCAGAACACCCAGATCCTTCTCCACCATTGATTCCCCCAGTTGTACTCCCCCTAGTATGTATGATGCATGCATATTCTTAGGCCCCCAAGTGCAGAACCTTACATTTATCAACATTAAACCTCATTTGCCACATAGTTGCAAAGTCAGCTTGTAAATTGAAGATATCCTGTAAGGACATTATTCCACTGCACAGCTTGGTGTCATCTGCAAAGACTGAAATGGTATTTTTAATCCCAGACCCTTTATTGTTTATAAATATATTAAAAAGTAAGGGTCCCAACACTGAACCTTGGGGTACACCGCTTACAACCCTAGACCATTCAGAGTATGAATCATTAACCACTACTCTTTGAATACAATCTTTTAGTCAGTTTTCTACCCATTTACATATGGATTTTTCCAAGCCTGTAGACTTTAACTTACACATTAGCCATGTATGGGGGAACTCTGTCAAACGCTATTGCAAAATCCAAGTATACCACATCCACCACCATCTGTCCAAGGTTTTTCTCACCTCCTCATAAAAAGAATTCAGATTTGTTTGACAACTTCTGTTTTTCATGAATCCATGCTGTCTGTTGCTTAAAATATTTTTTTCCAGCAAGAACTCATCTATGTGGTCTTTTATTAAACTCTCCAGTATCTTCCCAAATATAGAAGTTAAACTAACAGGTCTATAATTACTTGGTAAAGATTTTTACCCCTTTTTAAATATTGGCACCATATTGGCCTTAAGCCAATCCAGTGGTACTATGCCAGTCATTAAAGAGTCCCTAATAATTAGAAACAATGGCTTTGAAATGACACAGAGCTCAATTCTTTAAGGACTCGTGGGTGTACGCCATCCGGTCCAGGTCCTTTATTCACCTTTATTTGGTCTAAATTTTTTGGATCATATCAATTGTGAGCCAATGTGGATCATCTGGAGCTGTGTCAATACCTTGCCCATTATGTACAAGAGCTCCCCCATGCTCCTTTGTATACACAGAACCGAAGAAGGTATTTAATAAATTTGCCTTCTCTTTGTCCCCAGTCACCCAATCTAGATTATTTTGTAAAGGGCCTACATGTTCAGACTGGACATTTTTACTATTAATATATTTGAATAATTTTTTGGGGTTGGTCCTGCTATCTTTTACAGTCTGTCATTCATTTTCAATTTTTGCGGCCTTTATTTCTTTTTTGCATATTCTGTTATATTCTTTGTAATGTTTAAACAATGATAACGTTCTTTCATTTTTATACTTAATAAAAGCTCTTTTCTTATTATTTCTAGCTTTTTTAACTTTGTCCGTAAGCTACATAGGTTTGATTTTTAGCCTTTTAAACTTGTTGCCCATGGGAATATATTTTGCAGCAGTGTGTTCACATACAGTCTTTTTGAAGATCTCCCATTTCTGTGTTGTGGTCATGGATGCCAATATTCTCTCCCAGTCTAAGTCTTGGAGAGCAGCTCCCAGCCTTGGAAAATTAGCTCTCTTGAAATTAAAAATGTTTTTATTTTTCCTGTATGTGCTTGCTGTTTACAGCAAACAATAAATTAAATCATGTTATGGTCGCTGCTACCCAGATGTTCTTTTATATGCACATTCGTAATAAGCTCTGCATGGTTTGAGATTGCCAGGTCCAGCAGAGCATCATTCCTAGTTGGGGCCTCTATGAACTGTACCATAAAATTGTCCTGTAGTAGGTGTAGAGCAGTGTTTTGTATTAGCCAACAGTACAAGAAAGAAATATAATTTCCCACTGATTTCTAACACAGTTTAGTAATTGCACATTTCTTTTTCACTATTTAGCACAGCCGTTTTCATCCAGGGTTTTTATTTTTCTGGAGAGAGCCCCCTCACAGACATTCTGCAGAGAAGGAGATACACTTGAGGGTTCTCCTAGTGATCACTGTGATTGGATAAATCAGTGATCACACGACTGGAAGCCCACCTCACCAGCTCTCCATTGTTACTCAGTGACTAGGAGTTGTTGGTTATAGCTCAGTCTAAGTGCTGGGGGCATGTGATCCACTAGCACAAACACAAGTATGCATATATATGGCATCCCGCATAAGGGCCAGTCCCTGCTGCCACATATACAGTACGTGTACATTATACCCTAAAGGGTTAAAAGGTTAACGAATACTAAAAATTTTGGTTTGTTAAGTTTGATATACATAGATGGAAAAACAAATAGATATTCCTGCTGCATCGTAAATCCATAAGTCATCTAAACAGAGCAGAAAATGATCTACAGTAATAGAACAAAAAAGAAAAATAATGTTCTGAAGCTGAATTTGATTACTCTGGAAAATGTAGGCACATAATGGGCACATAATACAGACTGAACCAAACACATAATAAAGCCCAGTCATGATAAACGATGACCCAAATGGATCCTCTTGGTCAAGTGCCCACTGCACTATGCATTCCAGTCTCTATTGTTGGGTTGATAGAGTTTCATAATAGAACTATAATACACTTTGCTTATAATAAAGTGTATAGTGTTGTATAAGAAGGCTTTGGGGGGTCCAAAAATATATGTAAAACTAAAAATATTTTTAGCTTTGTTTTGCACAGAAAATGTTTAGAACATCTATCACGTCTTTATTGCTGTCTGTGTGATAACTGGTGGAGTTTACCCTTACTGATTATCAATATACTGACATATTCTTGTACTTTGGATTTGTGACCTTGTGTTTATATGTATCAAGGTATCCATGGATGCAAAGAAATCATCACTGAGGAAGTTGTTTTCCCCTGTAGAACTGCCTTCAACTGACTGGATTGTTTAGTTTCTTTTATATAATTTATAGACTCAATATGTGTAACTTGATATGTATACTCAATATACAAATATAAATGCATAAATATAAAGTCACAAAAGTCAATGATTAAAATCTACTGTATATTGTTTGATACCTGCTCCAATAACTGGCGAAGCCGTTGAAGTTGGGATTCTAGTTGCTTGTTATGATCTTCCAGAATTTGCATCCTGGCTTCCAGTCGGCCTTTGTGCTGTCTTAGCAGTTTTGCCTCAGCAATAAGTTCTGCATCCTCAGATGTGTGCTGCAGGGATGCCAGAGAATCAGGGGGAGAGGACGGAGGGCTCAGCCCTTTTCTCAAGTGCTGTGCTTTCAGCTGTTCATATTCAATCTTCAAATTCCTAAAGAAAGTTATATTTTGCATGTCATATCCAAAAAGTCAACAGTACTAAATCCTGTCAAAAGTTTATTTTTCAGACATCTGTGGATTATCATATCTCATAGCCTAGGACAGTGAGATCCATTTCTGTATACTGTATTCTTCCCTCAATGCAGCCATTAAAAAGCCAATAAAATGTCACACTGCTTCTGCTGATTTTAGCAGATTAAGAATACTCTGTTGAGAAAAATAACACTTTCATAACAACCCCAGCAAGGGGTAGGGACAGCATGCATGGTTAGATGATCTTTCCTCCCAACTTGCCTTTAGCTAATAAGCCAACAGGTGATTCAAAGGCCAGCATTCACTGCTAAATAAATATCATCTTTTGGTGGAATTTAATCATCTCATAAATTTACTGTTTATTTAGCCCAAATTAAATATTGCATTTCAGGAAAGTTGAAAACAGATAGTTTAAAGCAGACCTTGCAGTTTGTGAAAAAAACACTTTTTAAGTGCCCCCTTAGAGAGAAAAGCAGCATAAATGTAAAACAAAAGAAAAACAGTAGAAAAACGATAAAATACTACCATTTCCTCCAGTTTCTGTGGTGCAGGTGATGACATCATCATCCTGTCAGTGAGTTCCCAGGGAATGCTAAGTGCTCCAAATGTTGTGAGAAGCCACTACTCCACAGTGCTCAGAGTAAGATTTGGAGTACTCTACATTCCCCCAATCTCGATGGAAGAAGGATGAGGTCACCCTTACCCGGGCACCACAAGCAGTACCCAAAACCCACAGGTATGCATACAATCGTAAATTTTTTTCTCCACTACAGTTTTTTTTTCTCTAATATCTATGCTGCTTTTCTGCAAGGGAGTAGGGGACCTTAAAAAAATAGACCTTGCATTTTAGCTGCAAGGTCCACTTTAAGCGCTTCTGTACTGTATATTTATAGTATGTCCTTGGCAGGAAACTGTCATACTGTACCAGGATCATGGCAGCAGCTGCATGGGTTTTACTGTAAAGTGATCTGAGCAGATCTACAGTCTCTCTGGTGGAATTAGGGAGCCCAGGACTGCTGCATCCTGTGTGGCTTGCTGAGTATAGAGGAGGGGACGAATGAAGCCGGACGTGACGTGTATTATATCAGTTGTGATTTTGGTTAGTGGCTAGAGGAGCATTTGATCAAACCAGTCTTGGTTTGATCAGATGCTTTTTAAGGGCAGATGAGAGATCTGAGGTCTAATAAACCCCAGATCTCTCCCCATAGAGTACCTGTCACTGCCCATGCCATAACAAGGGATGTTGTTTATCCCTTGTGATAGCAATAAAGTTGATTAAAGAAAAAAATCAAAGACACAGTGTGAAAATATAAATAAAATAAATAATACGATTTAAAAAAAAAAGGTTTCAAGATGCCTCCAACCATTGATACAAGGCAGGATGGATCCACGCTATCATGTTGTTTATGCCAAATTCTGACCCTACCATCTGAATGTCGCAGCAAATGGTCTGTTTGATGGACCTCTGACATCAGCAAGGCTTTTTTTGTCCACACAGCTGCCGCTTACTGGATATTTTCTTGGTTTTGGACCATTCTCTATAAGCCCTAGAGATGGTTGTGTGTGACAATCCCAGCAAATCAGCAGTTTTTGAAATACTCAGACCAGCCCGTCTGGCACCAACAACTATGCCAGGTTCAAAGTCACTTAAATCCCCTTTCTTCCCCATTCTAATGCTCGGTTTTGAACTTCAGCAAGTCGTCTTCACCACGTTTACATGCCTAAATGCATTGAGTTGCTGCCACGCGATTGGCTAATTAGCAATTTGTGTTACCAAGCACTTGAACAGGTGTACTTAATAAAGTGGTCAGTGAGTATATATATGAGAAACATCAGAATTAGCCCAGATGGCAAGTAGTTAATTTGATAAATAGTGGGGTTGAGTTTAAGCAAAGAAGACCTGTTTCTTGCAACAAGCAATCAGACTCCATGTTTTTTTTCCTACTGTGCAAGATAGAAAAGGAAGCGCTGGGCTAGTACTGTAAGTCTTAATTTGATTCCAGTAATCCGTTAGGGCAGTATCTATATGAGTGTGGAATAGCTTGCATGGAAGATTGGTTGTATACCAACATCATTGCAGTGCATGTAGTTATAAAAAATTTGCAATCAAGATTTGAAAAATCTGCTCAATAGGTAGACATTTAAGATCTGTTTCTTAAAGGACACATCAGCCAAAACATTTTGTAGGTTGCTATTGCTGGCATTTCCTAAAAATGTCAGCTACCTGTCAGTAATAATAGCCTGCACATCTCTTCCATGACATGTGTACTATGTTTTCTCTCAACATTATACACTCTATTCTGGTATTTATAATATGGTGCCTATAGACATTACATGACATTCTCCAGATGAAGCTATTTTCTAATGTCAATAGGGCACCAGTACCACCAGCTGGGTTTGCCAGGGGCAGTAGTGATTTCACCACTCCACAGATCTTAACACAGTGAGATTGATCATACCTAGGGACCAGTCATATTTAGGGATGCGGCAGCTAGCATAGATGACTGACAGCAGTCAGATCATGTTTCAATGTCTAATATCAATACACAAATTACTATAGAAACAAACGTTATATGCATCCAATGAGAACATAATCGCACAATCTGGTATATTATTACACAATGTATATCATCCTATAAAAGGTTTAGGTTAGTGAAATATAATAAAAACATATATAATAAAAATGCAGCATTTACACTCTGTTACTTAGAATAAGTACAGTTGCAAGAAAAAGTATGTGAACCCCTTGGGATTACGTGGAGTCTTGCATGAATTGGGCATAAAATGTGCTCTGAACGTCATCTAAGTCACAACAATAGAAGAACACAGTCTGCTGAACATAATACTACACAAACATTAGATGTTGCCATGGTTTAATTGCACATAACATGTAAACATTCACAGTGCAGGGAGGAAAAAGTATGTGAGGCCCTAGCTTAGTGACTTCTCCCAGAGCTAATTGGAGCCAGGAGTGAGCCAACCTTGACTCCAATCAGTGTGATGATATTGGATGTGTTGCTGACAGCTGTCCTGCCCTTAAAAAATACACACCTGTTTTGGGTTTACTGGTTTCAAGAAGCACTGTTTGATGTGAACCATGCCTCGCAGAAAAGAGCTCTCAGAAGACCTACGATCAAGAATTGTTGACTTGCATGAAGCTGGAAAGGGTTACAAAAGTATCTCCAAAAGCCTTGATGTTCATGTGTCCACGGTAAGACAGACTGTCTACAAATGGAGAAAGTTTAGCACTGTTGCTACTCTCCCTAGGCGTGGTCGTCCTGTAAAAATGACTGCAAGAGCACAGCGCAGAATGCTGCATGAGGTAAAGAAGAATCCCAGAGTGTCAGCTAAAGACCTACAGAAATCTCTGGCACATGCTAACATTTTTGTTGACACATCTACAATAAGGAAAACATTAAACAAGAATGGAGTACATGGGAGGACACCATGGAGGAAGCCATTGCTGTCCAAAAACAATATTGCAGCACGTTTGAAGTTTGCAAAAGAGCACCTGGATGTTCCACAGCACTACTAGCAAAATATACTGTGGACAGATGAAACCAAGATTGAGTTGTTTGGGAAGAACACACAACACTATGTGTGGAGAAAAAAAGGCACAGCACACCAACATCAAAACCTCATCCCCACTGTAAAACATGGCGGAGGGAGCATCATGGTTTGGGGCTGCTTTGCTGCCTCAGGGCCTGGACGGATTGTTGTCATTGATGGGAAAATGAATTCCAGAGTTTATCAAGACATTTTGCAGGAAAACGTACAACCATCTGTCCGCCAACTGAAGCTCCGCAGAGGATGGGTGATGCAACAGGACAATGACCCAAAGCATACAAGTAATTCAACAAAACAATGGCTGCAACAGCACAGAATACGCCTTCTGGAGTGGCCCAGTCAGAGTCCTGACCTCAACCCGATTGAAATGCTGTGGCATGACCTTAAGAGAGCGATTCACACCAGACATCCCAAGAATATTGCTACACTGAAACAGTTTTGTGAAGAGGAGTGGTCCAAAATGACTCCAGATCATTGTGCAGGTCTGATCTGCAACTACAGGAAACGTTTGGTTGAGGTTATTGCAACCAAAGGAGGGTCAACCAGTTATTAAGTCCAAAGGTTCACATACTTTTTCCTCCCTGCACTGTGAATGTTTACATGTTATGTGCAATTAAACCATGGCAACATCTAATGTTTGTGTAGTATTATGTTCAGCAGACTGTGTTCTTCTATTGTTGTGACTTAAATGACGTTCAGAGCACATTTTATGCCCAATTCATGCAAAACTCCACATAATCCCAAGGGGTTCACATACTTTTTCTTGCAACTGTACATCATTTAGAAAGATGTGAAAGAAATGAACAATGGTATTCCAAGGGCAAGAAAGTTGAAAAAAAAGCTGTCATCTATGGTATGTCACCTAACCATTATGAAAACTGTAAGAAGAAGAGATTAAAGTGTGGAAAATGTGAATTAGAAAACTATAGAGAGACAATATGTCAGATAGAAATAAAGGTAGACTGTTAGTAAGGTTATGGAAGTGGTGAAGAGGGTATAGTAGTCATTAAAAAAATATTTCCAAAATCAGCGACAGTAAAGACAGTTACTATTAAAAAAATTATTTCCAAAATCAGCGACAGTAAAGACAGTTACTATTAAAAAAATTATTTCCAAAATCAGCGACAGTAAAGACAGTTACTATTAAAAAAAATATTTCCAAAATCAGCTACAGTAAAGACAGTTAATAGTTTGGTGATTTGGAAATCAGCTCTGACTATGAACCTAATAAAAGTTCCTGTTCTGTCACACTAACTGCTAGAGATGAAAGTAAGACCCCTAAGCCCAAAGCCAGACACCCCCACCTTTGCATAAAATAATGGAAGTCATTCACTGCATCTAAAGGATAAGTTCACCTTTGGGAACATGTTACATGTTCCACCCATTTTTAGGGTGGACCATGTAGCATGTTCCCA